CATGCTTCCCCACCACCAAGGATCTGGACCAGCTCCAAATAATAAGGGCAGTAGTGGGTGGCTGCCCCAGAACGGGAGCTCTCCTCCCTGGCCTTTACATAGCTCTGGAGCAGCTCTTTCACTTTAGAGCGCACCTGGTCCTGGGTGCGGGGGTGGTGCCCTCTCTTGACCAGGGTCTCTGCCATGCAGCCAAAAATGTCTGCATTTCACCACCTGGTGTTCAGGGCTTGTAAGGCCTCCTCCTCTGACCAGAGCTCAAGAAGGGTCTTGAGCTCTGGCCCAGACCATGCCGGTGCCCAGTGTTTGGAGCTCCTGGTTGGGTCCCTAGAAGGCTGTCTGGAAGGGCCAGGAGGGTCTTTGGGCTGGGACATGGCTGCACTTGAACAGCCGTGTGCTCTGGCTGCTTTGCTGCCACAACTGGCTGGGGGGGGGGCTGGCCCCTGCAGACAGGAACCAGAGAGATGCAAGGCATGCCCCGGACTGTCCACCAGGGCCTCTTCCTGGAGGCCCTTTTTTTCGAAAAAACTAGCTCCCCGCATCCACACCGTTGAAAGAAAAGCCGCGTTCTTTCGATTTAATTTCGAAACACACGGCTGTAGTCTAGACGCAGGTGAAGTTTTTTCAAAAAAAGCCTATTTTTTTCGAAAAAACCCTGCAGTCTAGACACAGCCTCAGAGAGGTAGCCGTGCTAGTCTGTTTCAGCAAAAACAACAAGGAGTTTGGTGGCACCTTAAAGACTAACAAATGTATTAATTCACACGCCTTTGTGAGTTGCGGCTCACTTTGTCAAATGCATGAAGTGAAAGAATCAGATGGCAGGATTTATACATGCATACAACGATGAGAGTGTTACATCAGTGCTGATTCAGACAGGGTGCATGTAGCCCATTTTCAAAAGTGATAAGTCTCATAGGGGTAGCCGTATTAGTCTGTATCTACAAAAACAACGAGGAGTCCTATGACACCTTAAAATTCTAACAGATTTATCTGGGCATAAGCTTTCAGGGGGAAAAAACCACTTCATCAGATATACAAACTCCATGCATCTGACAGTGTTTTTTACCCATGAAAACTTATACCCAAATCAATCTGTTAATCAGAAGGTGAAAATACAAAAAGGGGAAGAACAGTTTATTGTACAAATCCTTTCTGAATTTTCAGTGTCAGCTAATTGCAAAAAATCACCCCAACCTGATGTTTTAGGGGACGGTATTGACTTTGGGGTGGTAAGAGTTCGTTGGCTGACCAGTTATGAGATCGGTGTCAGGGTAGGCTTGCTGGCTTTTCATGAGCAGAGTATCATGGAGTCTTTGAAGCTCAAAACCAATGCTCAGTGAGAGTGACTTTGGTTTGAGGCCCATTTTTTTTGTACAGATCTATTTTTGAGAAACAGAAAGAAAGGTATTCAGCATCTTGCTTCGGATGTTTGAAAATGACTGGGCAGCTGTGTAGGTCGACAGTGGACTTGTCTGGCATAATGCCCCTGATTAGCCTTCCCTGAAATTTCAAGGAAATATCTAACAGATTTTCCAGTGCCCAAGTTTGAATCCATAATTTAATTCCTTCAGTAAAGTTTTGGTCTGACTAAGGTTTCTCTTGTACTTGATTTTGGAAAGAACAGATGTAGTAAAAGTTGTTATAAAAATATACATGCTGGACCAAATTCAATCACAAATGTAATTCCACTCAGTGGAGTTAAGCGAGGGATGGCTTTGGCCCAGTGTCATTTAAATATTTGTGCTGTTACAGCTTTGTGGGTTAGGGGTTATTTTTCTCATTCTATCACATTAAGGGAAGGGAATTAATAATGTTAAAAGGATTTTTAAAATATATATTATAGAGATTATGTTTTCAAAAACCCTTCTGGGATGTCCTTCCCTCTTTCTTCTTAGCATGCTCTTTCACCCTCCTCCTCCTCCTTCTCTTCTCTCTAGTGTTTTCTCTGAGAGAGCAAAGTAAAAATTAAATAATAGTTGACATCATTTGGTTGGACTTGTGTTTGAGTTCTCTCTATTATTCATGGGATCTTTCTTATTTTCTTTTTTTCATCTACTGTAATATTTTATTTACTGTAGTGAGCTACATGCCAAGCTCTTGGCATGCTCTCAAGCTATTGTTTTACTGTGGTTGATGTGAACGTCATCAGGGTTCTTCCTCTGTTATTTATTAAATCTTCCCCCACCCCTTGTGTTAGGAATACCTTAGAGATGTTAATCAAATGAATGCAATGTACATACAGTAACAAATGCACAATACCATTTTTTCACTCAAGTTTTGTCTGAGTGCTGCAGGGTGAACTAGAGGTGTAAACTGTAGTGCACCCTAATCTGTTAGCTCATGTAGACTGATGGTGTAAACTATAAGGTACCTCATACGACTATATAGTACAAACTAGATATCTTTTAGTTTGTGTCAGCAGGGTCTGTGTGGCACAATTAGAGTGTTCTGTTTTTCACCCATCTAGTTCACACTGCAGTAGATATTTCGAAATAACGCGTCTACACACAAAATGCATCTTGAAATAGCATTTGGCTATTTTGAAATAGCGCATCCACACTGAGTGGATGCTGAATAGCATTTAAGGCCAGCTGGAACCAGGTCCGGCAGGAGATCAGGTCGAGAGTTACTTTGTGTGACTGCTGTGCTTAGGCCTGTGCTTAAAGGGACCCCTCCCCATCCCTCCCCCCTCCCAGACAGCCAGTTCTTAGGTTTCCCTGCTTGCTTGCCTACCTCGATGAGGGACAGCAAAGCATTTTGTCTCTGCATGCTCTGGTCGCCCTCACTCGGGACACCACAGCACTCTGCAGCATGGAGCCAGAGCTGCCCCTGAGCACTCTGGTGCTTCTTGTGGACACATTGCTGCGAGCCTGGCTGCACTTTCTGCAGGCTGCCATCCAGGAGGTCCATCGGGGGGCTGTCAGTATCTGAGAGAGCTTCAACCCTGAGGAGTACTAAGAGCCTTCCTGTTGTGCCTCATTGCCCCCTCACGTCCTTCCATTTACCCCCCCCCCCCGATGTAAAATAAAATGCACGTTTTTTCATAAACATAAACTTAGGGGGAGGAATGAAACTCTGGTGAGACTGGGGGAAAGAATACGGTGTGAGGTCTGAGATGGTGTTTGGGTGAAGGAGGGGATTGTGACCTGGGTCAGGGGATTGAGGTGTAGGGTCAGGGAGGGAGTGTGGGTGCAGGAGAGGATTCTGGCCTGGGGGGTGGGTATAGGAGGAGATACAGGCTCTGGGAGGGAGTTATGACCTGGGGCAGAGGTTACAGAGGGTTTGGATGATGACCTAGGGGAGAGAGTTGGGCTGCAAGAAGGGTTGATGTGCCAGAGACAGGCTCTGGCTGGGAGGCACTTACCCAAGCATCTCCCAGACATCAGCCCTTCAGCACCCCCAAGACAGGCTGGGTTCCCTACCTGCTGCAGCCCCAGACCACTTGAAAATGTAGGCTGTTCCCTCCATGTGGCTCTCATCTCGATGAGGGGAGAGATGCTTGTGCTGCCTGAGTGTTTCTGGTCAAAAAGAGCTGCGAGATTGGGCTCATGTTTTGGGGCCACTGGGTCAGGGGCAGTGACTGCTGGCTCTGGGCTGCCAGGCCTGGAGCTAGCATGGGCACTGTGGCCAGAGTCTACCCCTTTAAGTATCAGAGGGGTAGCCATGATAGTCTGAATCTGCAAAAGCAGCGAGGAGTCCTGTTGCATCTGACGAAGTGGGTCTTTGCCCACGAAAGCTTATGCTCCAACACTTTGGTTAGTCTATAAGGTGCCACAGGATGACTCACCACTTTTACCACTTCAAGGGCTCTGGGGATAGGTGGAGGGAGAGGAGTGTTCTTGGTTGAGGCGGGAGTGGCCACTAGGGCACCCTGGGATGGCTGGAGGCCCCCTATTTCGAAATAAATGTCTACACAGCACTTATTTTGAAATATCAATTTCTAAAGTGGTGTTGTTCTTCGTGGAATGATGTTTACCAATTTCGAAATAAGCCCTCCGCTATTTCGATTTAATTTTGAAATAGCGGTTGGCTTGTGTAGACACTAGGAAAGTTATTTTGAAATAACAGCTGTTATTTCTAAGGGTATGTCTACACTACCACCCTAGTTCGAACTAGGGTGGTAATGTAGACAACCAGAGTTGCAAATGAAGCCCGTGATTTGAATTTCCTGGGCTACATTTGCATCTCGCCGGGCGCCGCCATTTTTAAATGTCCGCTAGTGCGGACTCCGTGCGAACTAGGTAGTTCGGATTAGGCTTCCTATTCCGAACTACCGGTACTCCTTGTTCCACAAGGAGTAACGGTAGTTTGGAATAGGAAGCCTAGTCCGAACTACCTAGTCCGTGCCGCGTGTAGCCGCACGGCACGGAGTCCGCATTAGCGGACATTTAAAAATGGCGGCGCCCGGCGAGATGCAAATGAAGCCTGGGAAATTCAAATCCCGGGCTTCATTTGCAACTCCGGTTGCCTACATTACCACCCTAGTTCGAACTAGGGTGGTAGTGTAGACATACCCTAAGTAACTTTGATGTGTAGACATACCCTCATAGACTTTAAGGCCAAAAGGGACCATCATTATCATCTAGTCTGATCGCCTGCACATTGTAGGCCACAGAACCTCAACCATCCACTCCTGAAATAGAATCGTCACTTCTGATTGAGTTATTGAAGTCCTCAGGTCATTAAAATTTCAGGTTACAGATAATCCAGCACGTACTATGGTTAAAACCCGCAAATGACCATGTTAGACTGCAAATATATTTTAACTAGAACACGTGTGTGCATGTGCGTATTTGTGGTCATATAAAATGTGTATGTTCCAATTATCTTTGTTTTCTGTAAAAATGCAAGTCAGCAGCTTAGTGCTCATGAAAATTGCAAAAATGGAAAAACAGGATTTACATGCTTTGGCTGCACAGTGGTAGAAGGGACAAAGACAGATAAATTAAATATAAAGCATTGCAGTGTTATTCCTCATTGAAGATGCCTCTGCAGATCCCTACTCTAGATAAAGTATGTTGTTTTGTGCCTACAATCAATTTGTTTAGACAAATTTTATGAGGTTAGTACCAGCTTGTTTTTAGGTATTGTTTATGTATAAAAATCAATGCTTTCTGCTTAGCTTTTGTCTTAAGCCAACGTTTTCAAGTGTTTACTAACTCTGAGTGCTTTGTATTCTGCATTAGGTCAATGGGAATTGTGAGCACGTAGCGCTTCAGAAAATAAAATCCTTTGTGTAGGACCTAGTCTGGGTTTACTCTTAAAAATGAGATTGGCCTAGCTGCATTGCTCAGGGCTGTGAACAATGTTGCACATAGTTTGCAGTGTCCCGTGTGACTAGCTTGAAAGAAGATTTGTTTCTGTTGACCTAGCTACTGTTTCTCAGAGGGGTGGATTAACTACATGGATGCAAAAATCCCTTCAGAGGGGTGGATTAACTATATGGATGCAAAAATCCCTTCTGTTGATGTAGGAAGCGTCTCCGCTTTGGTGCTCCAGCGGGACTGCTACAGCATCATGGCTGTGCTCCTGTAATGGTTGTAGTGTAAATATGGCCCTGGTCTGAGTGGATCTGGAGATGTGCTTGAGTTTCAAGAGATGTGCTTCATGTCAGAAAGAAATATCTGGTGGAGCAGTAGAGTAGACGCTTAGAAGGATTAGGACAAGGGCCTCTCTCTAGAGAGTAGTTGGCCTGTGCCGTTTTTACTACCAAAGCGAGAGAGTCTTCCCTGAAAGGAGCTGAATCTGCTTGCCATTATTCTGTTTATGGGTCTGGCTTAGTTTAATTCAAAGTCTTAAGATCCACTTTAGAAAAATGGAGAATGTTCTGCTTTGATGTCCCACTCAGAATGGCATGAGTTCATGGCACTACTTATCTGCTTCTCTGAAAAGGAAGACACATTAAAAGGCTTTGAAATGCTTTGAGGAAGAGAACCTAAAGAACATGCTCTGTCTCCAGGGCCCAACGTAGGAAAGGCTCTAGATGTGTTGCAGTGCTGTCAGGCTATTGGGATCCTGGGTATGATGCACTTGGCCTCCTTGTTTCCTCAGAACATGGCTCCTTGTCTGTCTGTGTGTCTGGTGTAGAAGGGTCATTCATATCCAGAGCCTTCTATTGTGGGACCCACTTTTCCAACACAAATTTTAAGCAGGGCGTGGGAATATTTCTTAAATAGGTTCACTAGGCCATCTGATACTTGCCAATACAGGAAGACACTCAACTTGGACTAAAATATGTGGATAGGGTTGTCAGATACTTTCACAAAAAATACCGAACATGGTGGGGGAAAAAATTGGTTGAGGGGAGAAGGGAGGAAGAAGGACCAAAGTTGCTGGGAAAACCCCCCCCCCCACAAAAAGAAGAGTCACTGCGCCTTTAAATCCCCATGCTCTCCCCCTGCCACACGTGGCAGGGGAAGAATGTCCCAAGCATCCTTCCGTCTGAGAGGAACAGTTGTTGTTTTTTTACCGGACACCTGGCAACCCTATATGGGTATTGGTTGTGAGGGCAGTAGCTCAGATTTGAGAGAAATCCATCAGATTATGAGAGCAACCTGAAACTCTGGCAGCCTCAAGAAGAGAAATCTCAAACCCATACATACCTCCTTCTCCTAATGCAGTTCAGTAGGTCTTCCTTCTCCTTTGCTATTGCTTCTCAGCTACTTAGTACATGCTGCTGAAACTCAGCTTCTGGGACAGAGGCTAGAAATTCCTCTCTAGACTTCACCAGCCATGTAGAGAACATAAAATCCCACAGCGGGGCAAATTCAACTCTTACAATTTTATCTGTAGTCGGTTTCTGCCTCCTGAGGTTTCATTGTGAGGGCATCAATTAGAAGAGAGGAATACACTCCCAGTTCATAAGCATCTAAGCATTTGAGAAGCATTCTTGAAGGTCTGGTATGTTTTGCAGGGTCTCCTGAAACTGTTCTTTGGAGAGATGACATCTCAGAGTTGGAAAATAATAAGATAATTGAAGATCTTCCTTCATGGTATTTTATGTTCAGTAAATGGTCTTATATTTTCAGATTCCATTTGCTGTGCCATACTCTAGAATATAAATACTTTCTTTCATCTGAATTACAAGGTACTATCTCAAAAACGTACTCATATTCCTCAGTAGCTGTTTCTTCAGTTTTACTCTCCAACCATGATCCAGTAATTGAGAAAGCTGGATTCAGTACTCAGAGCTGTACTCTAGTGCTGTACTGGCATAATGAATACAGTTGACACACATAGTTCAATATAACGAATGAATGAATACAGATTTTACATTTCATGAGCATAAAATACACTGGGCTTCAGACAAAGAATATTTTCTGTTCCTGACTATTCTATTCTCATACATTCTGTTTAGGCTCTTGGTCTCACCAAGCCCATCACATGATATGTGAATGCCTTCTGACAATACATTGACCAACATGGCAAGTGTCTACCACCTGCACCATGAAAATTAAATACAATGGTGATACAAATTTGGAGGAGGGAGAAGGGGCAAGGAATTGGGCATTCATTATCTCAGGCACTTCTATTGGTGTGTGACACAATGGCATATTATTCCTGGCATATTACTGTAGTTCAACAAAGCCACAATAAGCTTATGTGGTAATTTGGAGGGTTGGGGGGCTGTTGTTATAGCAAAAATCCAACATGCCACACAAAGAAATGAAACAAAATGCAGTTCTACAGGTGGAAACATTGGGCCTGTAGCATTGGAGGAGCTAGCAGCTGTTGCTTAAGAATTTTTTCCAATAAATGAAAAGGTGCCATTTGCAGAGGGAGGCCTCCCCGATCTTAGGGTTCAGGGGTTTTTATGTTATTGCCTATTACCATATTTGGTATTGTTTGTGCTCTGGGAGTGGCATGGGTGTGGTCTGGGTGCGGTGTGATGCCCATATATTGTGTTGAGTGCTGGACTCTGACAAGCTCCATTTTATTGGCAGATAAGCCTTGTTGCTATCCATGTGACCTGGTGAGGTTGCTGAGGTAGATCTCGCTGGCGAGGCCTGGCCTAGAGAACCCAAACTTGACAAGTGTCACACAGTAGTAGACTTAGTTTAATCTGTGGATTCATGAAAATATTACACTCACATGTCCTTTGCACTGACTTCCAGTAAGGCAACGCATCAGATGCAAATTTCAAAGGGAGTTTGCCTGACTCAGAATTGCAGGGTTTTCTCCTTGTGTCACTGGCATAGGGAATCTTTTCCCAGTCTTGGAATCCACCTATAATCCCAGCGCTTCTTTCATGTAGCAAGCAAGCTTGCTTTTGATTTAGTGCTGAGGGCTGGTCTACACTGGGAACTTAGATTGGTATAGATATATCAATTGAGGGTATGAAGAAATCCACCCCTCTGAGAGATGTAGCTATCCTGACTTACTATACCCCTGGTCTAAGTTAACTGAAGAATTCTTCCATCTGCCTAGTTACTACACCTCAGGGAAGTGGATTAGCTACAGTGACAAGAGAACCGCTCCCATTCCTGTAGAGTTTGTCTACCCTGAAATACTGCAGCTGAACAGTATAGCTCTAGCATTTCAAGTGTAAACACAACCTTAGGGTGTGTCTACAATGCGTCCCTCTGTTGACAGATGTAGATTAGGCACATCGAAATTGCTAATGAAGCAGGGATTTAAATATCCTGCACTTCATTAGCATAAACATGGCCATCGCTTTTTTCGAAATGGAGGTTTTTTGAAAAAACGGCAGTCTAGACGCGGATGTGTCAAAAATAAACCCTTTTTCGACAGATCCTGTAAACCTCAATTTTTGAGGAATATAGGATCTGTTGAAAAAGGGTTCATTTTCAACAGGTCCGCGTCTAGACCTCCATTTTTTTTTCAAAAAAACTCAGTTTTGAAAAAAAGTGGTGGCCATGTTTATGCTAATGAAGCGTGGGATATTTAAATCCCAGCTTCATTAGCAATTTCGATGTCTTGATTTGCATTCTTCTGTCGACAGAGGGATTCAGTCTAGACATAGCCCCAGTGTTGTAAAGTATTCTTTAATTTTGAATGTCTGCATTTTTGGGTGCCTATCTTTACCCAGCAGAGTCCCTTTGAAGTTAATGAGGTTTCCCACAAGTGCGAAAGTTAGTCTACAGTAGTGGATAGGCTCATGGTCCTCAGATTAGTGAGGGGGTATATGTTTGTCACAGGTAACTCAAAAATGTGTCACTGGGGATGTGCATTCTCCTCCAGTTTTAAAGAAGACCCTGCAAACAGAGCTTTATCCGCTGGCGCTAAGGTGGCCTATATTTGTCCATTTTTTAATTGTATTTTGCGGTATCTTTTAAATAGTTTTTGTGGAGCCCCAATCATTTTGCTTGATAAAAACAGCTTTGTCATCATTGTTACTATTATTCAACTTCAAAGGCAAACAAAAATGCGTATGCATTTAAAACAAAAAAACAGAAAAATATGTGCTTTCCAATTCAGTTAACAAGAACTGTATTTAAGTGTCTGACCTCTAAAACCTTCCATTTTTAAGTTGCCAAATAATTTCCTTTAGTGTCTAGGTTTGATATTGATCTGTGAATTCTCTTTCTTTTATGGGTGTAACAGTAAACAAGAGGATTAACATTATTTCCATGCCTTTTGGGCTAAGTGAATCAAAGTTGAAAGGTTCTCTTCAACATTTGTAGAAGGCTTTATATACTGTATAGTATGGAGTTTTATAGTCAATGCATAGGTACATTCCATTTTTCATTGTAAATGTGACAAAGCATTTATTTAAAAGGTTTATTGAAAAGTTCACTTTAACCCTGCTTAAAGTTTGGATAACTCCACAGAAAGCATTTCAAGCAAAGGCAGTCTGTCACTGGTGAGCTAGGGAGAGACTACAGAAAAATGTGGTGTTACCAGCTTCTGGGTTCCATTGGCATTTTGCATATTTTAAAAATTAAAATAATTTGGCAGGTTGCTTTTACAGTGGAGATCCTATTATGTACCAGATCCAATTATGTACCAGATTTCCTGCTCTGGGCTCACTTGTGAGAACTGCAAAGACACCAAACAGCCTAAATACCCCATTGTGTCATGGTCCAAAACAGAAGTCAGAAA